TATTGGTGACTTGAAAACTCTTATGGACTTTTCATGCTAAAATGAAAAAAAGAACTTTTGATTTATGGATTTGATGATTAGACAGAATAGATTATAGAAAGAATATTATGATGCATCTTTAGAAAGGGAAGTTAAAATATAATTGTACTTGTAATTCCTGTGAAGAATAATGAAAGCTACTTCTTAGTAATTTCTTTCTTTTCCTTTTTATTTTTCTTATACTTTTTTCTTTTCTTTTTTGTCTTAGCTTGGATTAGTTTTAATATTTTTTTAAAAAAGTTTGAATAAAAATCATATGAAAAAGGAGGCATAAAAGGATCTCCACATGTTATACCGGAAAGTAATATCCTGAAGAAATTATGGTATAAAATCAAAAGCTATTTGACAATGCCTCATCATGGCAAGCTGAAGGAATTGATACAATAAAATTGTTTTATATTCATTACATAATAATTTTGGTGAGCTGAGCATATCTTTCAAATTATTTGGCTTCTCCAAAATCACTTGTGTAAAGAGCTAGTGGACGTTCATCAATCTTTGAGACATTACATAAAGCCAGGTGTGTGTGTGTGGGGGGGAGGGAATCTAAATTCAAGTTATTGATAATGTTCCAGACACTTTGTAATGTAGCACAGTTTCCTTAATTAATGTCAAAAACAGTGTTGCAGTGCTCTGGACACAAATGTTTAGTGGTTTTAACCTTAAGGTCCTGCAATGTTTGTGATTTGATACAGTAACAAAAATCAAGGCTATTCTGGGATTCCTGTGTAGCAATGTATGCAGAAGTTGTGGATGTTCCATCATGGGAGGTTTTTAAGAAGAGGTAGGATAGCCATTTGTCTAAAATGATATAGGGTTAGAGTTTCCTGCTCAAGCAGAAGATTGGACTAGAACAGGGGTAGGCAACCTCGGCTCTTTTATGACTCAGGAATTGCTGGACTCAAGAATTCTGGGAGTTGAAGTCCATGAGTCATAAAAGACCTGAGGTTGCCTACCCCTGGACTAGAAGATCTCCAAGTTCCCTTCCAATGCTGGTATTCTGTATTCTGTAATCAAATGTCAAGATCTCATTTGTGAAATTATAGAGTGAATACAATTGTGGGTAATTGGCTGGCAAACAAATATAGAACCAACAGACAGGAATGGGGGACTATGTAAATCAGAACTATTAGGAAACAAGGCAAGTGTGAGATATTCGGTAAGGACATAAAGTAAACTATAGTACTAGGAGTATTATAATAAGCATGAAGCGAAATAAAATAGTTTTTGGCAGTCTCTTCACTATTTCAAAACTGAGACAGCAACAACTATTCGCAGTTCAAACTGATGTTATATAACTTATTCAACAATGCAAAGTAGTATAAGATAAACCATAAATCAGGCTTCTTTGGGATTCAAGCCTGACATTTACTGTTTTGAGTCTAAGACAAAAAAAAAGGGGGGGACATGTAATTTGGTATGTTTGAGGCTATAAAGGTTAGGTTAAATTCAAAGATCATCTCTGAATTTATACGAGATGCAAAACTGTTGAACAGAACTTGTTTACATTCCAAAAACTGAAATTTCCAGAGTTGGACTCAATGACTTCCAGAGTCAGGCTTTAGTTATGTTAATTCTGTGGACATGCCCATATAATTTTCTTGGCAGCGGTATGCAAGTGTCAGTGGAAGAATGGATGTGTTTGTGTCAATGGAAGAATGGATGGAAAAAGTGATGAATTGTGATGAAAAGTGATGGCAATTTATCCAGTTTTGTTTTCAGTTGGAAACAGCATCTGGACTTCATGTTTAAAACAGGGGGGGGGGGAATTGATATTAGGTTTGATGACTAGATTAATTCTGTTGTTTGTTGTAGAAATGGCTTGTATCTATCAGAAATGTAAAGTAAAATGTGGAGAGTGTATTTTGTATTCTACTGCATCAAAAAGAGTTGGAAGTCACTATTTTTTCCTTTTCTTTTACTTTTTACCTTACACTTCTTTCCATTCTCCCCTCTGATATTTATTTCCCTTTGTATTTTATATTATAATAAACTTTAATAATATTTTTTTTAAAGGAAGTGGTTTGCCACAACTTTGTTTTTCTTTTTTAACATTTTAAACCTAGCTTACAGCCATGGGATTTCCTGCAAATCTCCATCCAGTTACCAGCTAGATCTGGCTATGCTGCCATCTGCCGAGAACTTGAATTAAATCAATAAACAACTTTGCTATCTTAACTTTAACACTGAAGCCTTTCTTATCTTGATCTGGAATATGATTTTATAAAGTACCCTCTTATACTCTCTATATACTATGCTTTAAAGGCATATTATAAAGTTTTTTAGATGAATGTAAATTTTAAAGTATATCAGTATATACAGGTGTCTCTGTATAGCAGCCATCTGCAAAACTGATTCAGAATGCACATTAATAGGTATAAATAACTTATTGAGCACTGTATGAATGACTGATTTTTATGTCCATGTCCAATGTTCAAGATATTTACAAACCTGCAAAGGTTTAGTCACTAAGAAAAACTAACTTCAAATGATTATATAGAGAAGTTTAAGAAAACTTATAACTTCAGCCCGTTATACTATTCTTAGTAAACTTAAGAGTCTATTATGTTTAATGATCAAATACCAACCAACTTTTTTGTGTCATTGTGGGAAATAATCTATTTTCATTATATAATAATTGTGTTACATCCTGAAAGCAGCTTTGCTGTAACAACAGCTTTGAGCTATTTCCCCTGTATTATACAGAAAAGAGTTGAACCGCAAATAAAGTTGTAAACAATCCTGTAATAAAATGGAAAAGCTTTCACTAAAGCCATAGGCATTGGAGGGCAAAAAATGTCGCTTACCATCTCAGCTAGTAAATAGGAAATGCTTATGATATCCATATACTTACACATTCCACATAGAAATAATAATTTATGGATTTTTTAATGGTGTGCAATTAATTTTCCCAAGGGGCCACATCAGAAACTGGGATTGTTGTGGAGGGCTGAACCAATAGGGCAGTGAAGGTGTATAAGCACACACACAGGCATATACATACATTGAAAAAAAAAAACCCAGTTACCTTCAAAACGAAAGCAATACAGTTGTATTGCATGCATGGCATACACTTATTTACATTTACATTTACAATTTCCAGTTGATCTTACACAGACTGAACAGGAATAGCCAAAAGACTGGATGTAGCATGGAGGGTGGTAAAATGCCCATGTTTCTTCTATGGGAATTATTTTCCTGAGTACAAAAGCCTTGCTTCCAAGGGCCCAGAAATGGGGTACTCTCACAAAGATAAATAGTAAAATAAAAAAAGGGGGGGGGGAGATTCCTGCATGTTATAGCTGATCAATTCCAACAAATTAATTCATGGGACACATCTTATATGACATTTTCTTAAGTTCATTACACAAATTTATTTAAGAAACTTAAGTATGTATGTATATAAATGAATGTTATGTTACAAACAGCCAGATATACAGTACATTTCCAATATATTTCCACATTGGCTGCGTTTTCTTGGAAAAAATAAGGGACTAACCTAAAAAGGGGGTAAATGTGAAAGAGGTTTAAAAAAGTGTTTATGTTCATAACTTTGCTTTATGAAGGAAAATTCAAGAGAAAAACCATGAAAAAATGAAACCAAATAAATCTAAAGCAGAGCTGTCCTTTGTAATAAAAGAGGCATATGCATGTATGTGTGGATATAGATATATAGATGTGGATATAGATATAGATACATAGATAGATAGATATCCAACCCTTACATGAAAGTGGGGGGAAGGCAAGAAACACTGCAAAATAATTATCTTGGGTTTCATCTCAGATACTTGGCCAAGCTGCAACGCTTTGGATTTATATGAAGTGGAGAATGGCATGCAAACTTTAGTCCTAAACACCCTGACTGACAGGAAAGCCAGTGGGCCAATCATTCTCTTTGAGCCCAACTCTACCTCTCAGGGTTGTTGTAGTACGGAAAACAGGAGGGGGACGGAGTATTAGGTACATTCGCAGTGTGTGTGTGTGTGTGTGTGTGTGTGTGTGTGTGTGTGTGTATACAAATAAAATTAGTCCAACTATCTTGGCCACCACTGTGTGTGTGTGTATACATACACATACACACACACACACACACACACATATTCTGAAGGGCCGTTTTTTACATAAAAGCAGATAGTATATATATTCTATCTGCTTTTATGTAAAAACTGGACCTTCAGAATAAGAAGTGCGCTCGAGAGGACTGCCGAGGGGTTGACAGGCGGTAATTTTGGCGCGCTCCTGCCGCCCCGCCTACAATTACCCGCGATAAACAAACAGCAACAAAACACACGCCCTGCGGCCACCGCTGGCCTTTTGCTCAGCTGGCCCTTCGGTGCGCCCTTCCTTCGAGGGGGCTGGAAAGCGACTTGTCAGGAAGGCGCGCTACCCAGAGCTACCTAGAGCGGTGCTTCCCTGCCATTGCGCCTGCCTGCTGGCAGTGGCACTTCAGGCGGCTTCTTCACCCGGGCAAGCCCTCCGAGGGCAGGGGGTGTGTCCGGGCAGGGCGGAGTCGGGAGACAAACTCCATGCCCGCCTCTTTCTTCCAACGCCGAGAGTCGCTGGTGGCAAGAGCTCCGCGTCGCACCGCTGGAGGGGAGGGGTGGGGGGGGGCACAGAGAGAGAGAGACCAGCCTCTGGGAAGCTCGCCTCCCCCGGCCTCTACGCCCCACACGCGCCCCCGACTCGCTCCTTCCCACCTGCCAGAACTTCTCCCATGTGCTGTCATGAGGCGAGCGCTCCGCTCCGGACTGGGCGCTGCGGCGCTTGTCCTGACAGCCTGCGCCTCTCTCTGCACAGGTAAAGGGAGCGCCAGGAGCCTGCTTGGCTGGCGGGTCGGAGGTTGCGTTTGGCGGTGCTTGCTTGCTTCCCCCCTCCGAGCGGGTGCCGAGCGGGTCTTGGGAGCGGCGAACTGGGCACCGGAGTTTCTCTCGGGTTACAGGAGTCTTGGCCTGATTGAAAATCCTTTGCCTTCCTCCTTCCAAGCTGTGTCCCTAGTAAAAAAAAAAAAAAAAAAACAAACTTATCCAAATAGCATTTTTCCTGATCACACGGGGTGGCGGTCCGACAGGTTTTTTGCGCCTTTTCAGCCCGTTTGCCGAGCTAAACAAAACCGTAGAGTAGGCTAAAGGCGTGCTTTCGAAGTTCGAGGGATTTGGTTGCTTATAAATAACCTCGTAAATTAAGCTTCGTGCAATCCGTACAGCAACCCCGCTGTGGGTCAGATAGATAAATAACAGAGAAGGAACGTTAAAGCGGTTTTTTTTTTTTAAAGTAATAATAACTGGTAGGAGAGAACAGAAGAGCCGCGCTGGGGCGAATTTGTTATAATATAATCTCAGTTGGACGGTGTGGCTGCGAGGGTAAAGGACAACTAAGCGCTCAAGGGAGAAGCCTACCGTATCTTTAAAGGGCAAGCCCTTCGTTTCAAAATGCGGCTCCCTTGGCAGAAGTGACACCCGCTCGATCCAAGTCTCTTTTTGGCTCTCTGTCACGATTTGCAGGTATGTCAAACAATACCCATATAAAGACGCTGCAGCTTCCTAGAGAGACGGATCATGTTGTTACCTCGGACTACTCCAGGGCTTGATCTTCAATTAAAAACAGTGTTTACAGTAGGGTATTGGCTTAAATTGCAGCTGTGGCTCCTCTTAATTGTATTGAAATTTGGGCAGAGGAGAGAGAATGGGGAGAGGTGTATGATTGGAAAGGGATTTGGGTTTACAAAAAGCCACACATGGAGTATCAGTCCCAAGCCCTCTTACCTGTGAGAGCAACCCCAAAATAAATTTCTGAGACCTGTTTCTGAGTACATATATGCAAGCTGTAAGTCCCCTTTTCAAGTTGGGTCATTTAATCCAGTAGTGCAGTCCCAGACATGTCTACTCAGAAACAAAATGATTTTGGGGAGGACTCCCAAAGTGAGCCAAACTGGAAAACAAACACCAAACCCTTGTTTCTAATCATTTAAAAATAGAATTGGTCCAGTTAAGTGTCCCTTTCATCTTCACTTTCTGTTCAGTCAGCTATTTCACTACAATGATTAAAAAATCTGATTTCATCATTGTACCCATATTTATTATTGGTCCAGTTTTATTATTGCTCTCAAAATGTTTGAGGAAAAAAAATTAAAGCCTAACAAAGCTGAGACATCCATTTCACTGACAAGAAAACTTAGTGGTGGGTACCAAGTCAGTATATACTGTAAAAAGGTAGCAGTGTTTCCTTTTAGTTGAGCTTGATTTCATATAGTTTATAGATGTATCATACCGTGTTTGAGATGAGTTGGGGGCAGCGGAGGTGCTACATATCTAATTTCTGAACAAAGAAACAAAATGACATAGTTGATAGTAATTACTATATGTCTCTGTCTGTAAGAAAGCAAGTGAGCATGTGTTGGGGATATTGGCAGAAAATGCCTAAGAAGAAGTTGTTGGGTTTTCTTTTCCAGCTTGGGAAGAAATAGATTCAGAATGGAACTTTAAGTATCATGTATCTTGACGTGGGAACATGGAATGTTAGATGTAATATTGAAATGATCACCAGGTTTTTTTTTAGAATTGGAAAAGATGGTGGTGATTTTGAAACTAAGGCTATGCACTTTATAATGTTCTGGGTAGGAATTCTATAGTGTAAAGAGAAGATGCTGGAATAGGTGTGAAATGAAGTTGGAAAAGAAAAACAAGTAGACAGATATTTGGGTTTGAGATGTAATCACTATGCAAACAGTCTGAATCCTTTGGAATATACAGTATATCAGTAGGAATCCTGCATTGGGATCAGCCAACACATTTTTCCCAGAAAATGCAAAGAAGTCTTTAAAAAGTCTCTGATAGGGGAGGAAAGAGTTAAACTCTACAGTTTCCTCACAGTTCTAGATTTGCTCAGGTTATCCCTTGGCTACTATTTACTTAACCCAAAAAACAGTTCCTAATTGCTTTGCTGCAATTATAATCACATTTGGCCTTTAAACTATTTTGCCAGCCTAAGCAAATTATTTTGGCCATTGCCTTGCATCTTGTTCTGAGGGCTAACTATGCCCTCCTCAAATGTTTTTTTCTTCTTCCCCTTTACAGATAGATAGCAGAAAGACAATCCAGTCCTAATTCATGGAATAAATGTATTCAAGTATTATTTTCAGAAAGGCTGCAAGAAGAATGGGTTGGTTGGTGGATGCATCAGCTTCTTTGTCTAATGTCATGTTCTCTAGTAAGTTTGGGATTAATCTTAGCTTTGGTTTTTATAAGATTTCCCGGTTCTTCTGAACCATTGTAAATTCTGTAGCTCCAGCCATTGATCTTTAATGAGTTTTTGAACTTGATCAGCCCAATGTGCATGATCTATGTATATAATTTTAAATGACCATCTTTAGTAACAGTAATGGTAATGGTAATAGTAATATTATAAATCAGGGCTGCATTTCCTCCCCCCCAATATAATTATAGTTAAAAGCTTATGCCAAGGTAACAGATCTTATATACTCGAGAAAATGGGATCCTTCAATCTATACAAATGGCAAGGTAGATATAGTATTGAAATGTTTTTTAGGATTGGAGGAGATGGTGGTGATCAAACATCTTTTTTTTAAAAAAAAAGACAAATGATTACACAGATTAGAAATCTCTGAAAAGTTCAGTGTTTTGCACATCCTGAAGCCTGAGTAACACCATAAGGTTCTGCTTGCCCAAATCTTTCCAGGGTGTGGGACTATAGCCTTTCAACCTTCACAGCTCCCATGATTTCAGGTTTTATCATGATAATAAGTATGAGATGTAACTAATGTTTCTGTAATCAAAGTTGTGAATGCATGTCACATAATGTACATAGTGAATGAGTATAAATTCCTGCTAATATTAACGTATACAACATCCATAGTGAGGAATCTGAGACAAGACAATTCCTGACTTCTTTGGGAGGAGTATGTTTGCAGATACGGTTTAATTTGATATGTGTTTGGGTGAGGGGTGGAAAGCTCAAAATAGACTGAGGTGTGTAAAGTCCCTGCCATGGTAGTAAACTATCCATTGGGGATATTTTTTAGTCTCTGTTCTTAATGTTCAGTTTCTAATTTTTTAAAAAATGACAGTAGTTATATAAAGTCTAGAAAATAAGCTTGCTTCTAAATGGGTCTGACTCACAAGTCTATATTCCAGAAATATAGGGGTTTAATAACTGATAATAAGACAGTTCTCCTTCTAAATGTTTATCTATAGCTATTGTGGAAGATACAATTCACATTTTCCATCTTGTTTTGTCAGTCTATTTCCCATTTCTTTTGTTAATAAAAAGTCAGTTTAAAGGTTAATTAATAGCTGAGAAATGTTGGTAATCCAACTTTTAGTATGTTGGTACACAGGAGTATTTCCAGGAACACATCTTTTGGCAATCCTCCAAGCATTTACTCTTTAATTTACTCTCTAGAATCTGTTCTTCAACTTTCCTGCTCTTAGCCATTGCCGAGTCTTCTTGTTATCTTCTTTGCCTGCAAGGTTTTTTTTTAATGTATTGGCTACTTTGTCTTGTCATAGGTCTTTCCTATTCTTCATTTAGTTTTTCTTATAGGTCAGCTTGGTCTGTTTGAGGATTCACTAAGCCTACATGGTATACTACTTTCAGTGCATCCTCTTCACTGTTCTTCAGATATTCTTCCAATGCCCTTTTTTCTATTCAACTGTCTGGTATACTTGTAACATTTGACACCCACTTATGCTCTTTGGTAATAGTGTCTGTCAACATTGCTGCATGGATGAAGGGCGTAATTCCTTGTCATTATTTCTCTGGTCTTCCTATCCAGGGCTTCTACTTCCACTTGAGCCCAATCCACTATTTCAGTGTGTATCTAATGACTGGAATTGCCCAGTTGTTGATTGCCTTGATGGTATTTCCTACACAGAATTTTGGACTTTAAGATCTTCTTCACTCTCTTGATGTATTCAAGTATAACCTTTTTCTTGACTTCAGTGTGCTTGATGTTGTATTTGCAGTGATCTTCATCCAGATTCTTGATATTATTTCCATAGGGCATCTAGATTCTTGTAGTTTTTTTTTTCTCTTGCTGATGATCAGGATGGCATATCTGCCCAATCTAAACTCCACTGCAACATCTTGGCTATATATGTGGACAGTACTGAGCAGTGGTTCCATTTTAGCTGGTGTTTTTCCATACAGCTTCAGATTGTCTGTCTAAAGGAGATGGGTAGCCTGACAGATATTTCTGATGTTTGATAGCCATGGCCTGACTTCTTTGGTATTGTTGACAAAGGAATGAATGCAATGAAAAGCAGTAGTGGTGATAGTAAGTAAATCTCCTTGAAAGATTCATTTCTTGATATTAATTTCTCCCAGACTATCACCATTGACCAGCAATTATATCTTTTATTGCGCTATTAATCTTTGCACAAAGCTTCTGATGTTTCCATTGATTCCTGTTATTTCTAAACACTTGATTTTCTAGTCACATGGCAGTAAGTTGAATGGCTTCTTGTAAACAATTTCAGCTATTTCAGGTTGATCTCATAGTTTTCCAAAATCATGTTGTCGATTAGGAGCTGATCTTTTGTTCCGCTGCTGTTTGGGTGGTTTCCTTTTTACTCAGATGGAGAGAGATGCTGTTGGACTACCATACATCAGCTACTATGCCAGTTAGCAATTTGAAAGTTGTTGGTAAGAAGATAATTGGCCTGTAGTTGCCTGATGCTGCCCCTTTTGTTGGATCCTTCATTATCAGGTAGATTTTGCCAGATGTTAACCAATCTTCAATTTCACCTCCTTGCAGTATGCTGTGAAACTGCTTGACAGTGAATGAGTGTATTTCAACCAAAACCTATGAAATTCATCTTCACTTGATTCTGACCAATTTTTGATCTTCATTTTTCTCCACCATTTATTGTTATTACAAGTTCTTTCATTTCAGCTTCTTTTTTTCTCTTTTCTACTTTCTTTATTCAAAGTGCATTCTTGTATTTCTTTGGGTTGTGTCATAGCTGTGCTCAGAATTATACTGTTTCTTCTTTGTTAGGTATTGACTTATTCATTGCACTCTCTCTGTTGATGGATTGGTTGAAATATTTCTGATTTGACAGAAATGGAGATTCTATGTGCAGTTTGAGCTTTGTATCTGCTGATTTTCTTGGCTATGGCTGTTATTTGCTGCTTTATTATTTCTAATCCTTCCTTGATCTTCCTTGTCTCTAGGTGATATTTCATGGTCATATGTGCTTTTGACTTCTTGTTCTTCAGCTTTATTTGTTCTAGGTTGCTTGCATCTGATCTTAGCATGCTGATCTTATTTTCCAACCTGATTTTCCATTTTGGTGGTACACCTTTTGGCTTTTTTCCTTATTTATTGATTTTTGCGTCCAAAACATTCAGTTATGGCTACAGCTGTGTTGAACATCAGTTGGTTCGTTTCTTGCAATGAGCTGGTGCTTACATTTGATATTACAATACAGTATTGGCATCTTTTAATATTTGTTCTCGCTGTTCCTTCGAAACAAGCTTCAAT